CCGTTCCTCTCACCCGCGCCGCGCCGCTAGGCCAAGGCGGTGGCGCCTGGCTATATAGTGTTTATTGTTCGCCCCAATCTCCAGAAGGTTCGTCTTCGCAGCAATGGTGAAGGCGTTGGGGGTTGGGGGAGTATAGTGTGTTGGACCTGGAGGGTCGTTGAGAGGGAGAGGACGGATTGAGCCGGGGTTGGTGGAGGGGAGGGGAGGAGGGGGTGGTCTGATGGAAGCTTGACCGGCGGTGGGCTTTCACCTTCGAGGAGGGGAGGCCCAGGTGATTGAAAACCTTGCAGTGCTTCCAGCGGGGCTGATATATGGGGAAGATTAAATCATCGTGGAACCGTCGGAGCGCAGGGGTGAGATCTCACATCGCATATAGAGCGGTGGAATTTATTCATAGCCGAGAACTCGCCAGTCATCCGCAGCTGGGCAAGCGGGTGGGGGAGGGGGAAAGGGGTGCAAGCGGTGGGGTAGGCGGAAGGTATTGCACTGGCCGCCTGCCTGCTGCCCTTCAGAGTCCGCACGAGGCAGGCCGCACCCGCTCCCATGGGAGCAGCCCGAGAAGGAGGGTGGGGAGAGCGGGGAGAGGTGACTGAGGAGGGGGGGAGGGGGGGGGGTGAGCAGGACGTAGGTAGGAAAGGGCTGCGCAAAGCCTTCCTTGTTCAGCCAGGCGTGCCCCCCGCCAATGCACCGGCCGCAGCCCACAGCCCACACACGCCCGGGTTACGTTTACAGCACAGCGGGTATCGGGTCGGCGCGGATGGACCATAGCTGCCTGGCTAGGAGGCTGGTGTGGCGCTGGCGGCCTTCCAACCCTCGTCTCGCTTACTGCGTGGCCTTCCCCTTCGCCTTTACCTGCCAATCACAGCCCCTCTCTCTCTCCTTCGCAACACTGTGCTGCCCGGCCGGCGCGCACCTGCTCCTCGCACACGGCGGCCGTTGTCCGTAACAGCGCTGTCACTCTCGGCTACCTCCCCCAACCCCCTACACCTAACACCGCTTCATTTGCCCCTCCCCTCAGCTGCCTCGCCCTCCCTTACCATTCCCCCGGCGGCCGCCCCTCTCTAAGGGGAGGGTTGCAGCCTCCAGCGGTATATACGGCAACCGTAAAGAGTTTATGGC